TTCCGTCAGTGCCGGGTGATTTACCCATTTTCGACTTAGCTAGACTGAGATTTAATTCCTCGATTGTGATGTCCTTGTCAAGCAGGGGGTCCGAAGGGCCCGAATATAAGTAATCGGGTGCTGGATTTTGGGCGTATATGTCGCGGTAGAAAGATTCCCATTGTCCGAGGCAGAATTCACCACGGACCAGAACTCAGTTGCGTTGCGAACATTCCTAAATTTCTTGCGTATCTGTAGATCGAAATCAGAGCGACGATCCTTTAATAAAGAGTAGTATTTGGCTTTGATGTCGTGGTAACTTGACCAGGGTTGAAGTGCTGCTTTGCATTGGGCCAGAGAGGATTTGACGGCAGCCTTGGCAGCTGCACATTCGTTGTTGTACCAGGGTTTGTGATAGACTCGCTTGAAGGTAGTAAAGACAGTGTGTAGTAGCTGGCATTCACTGGCAGCATCTAGAATGGCGGAATAGAGGTTATCACACAGTATGTCGGTGTGTGAGTGAGCAAAGTCACAAGTGATCAGTGGAGACCAGGCCATTTGGTGCTTGTAGTTGTTCTTCTTGTCCTTCTTCCAGCAGAGTTTGTACTGTGTAGTCTTGGATGTATCTTGGGCAGAATTTGACGCATCCGTATTTGCGTTATACTTGGAATAAATTTCAATAGTAGTTGGAAAGTGGTCCGATTTAGAAACTAGTTCGTCAACCCACATGTCTTTGACTAGGTGAAGGCTATCGTTGTTTACCCAGGTCAAGTCCACCACACTTTGTCCATTTTTGTTTGTAAACGTGAAGTGACCTGGCGTGTCACTAGGCGTACGACCATTAAGAAGGGTGAAACCGTTTGCTTCGAAAAACTCCAGAACCGTTAAGCCTCTTTGATTGTGTGTGAGGTCAAGCGAGGAGCGATCCTTATTAAGGGAGGAGCCTCGTATTATATTTTCGTCTGTGTGTCCAAGTGTGCCAGGTCTGGAGTTGAAGTCGCCGGCGATGATAAATAAGTCAAAGTAATGTGTAGCCAGGATGTTGTTGATTGTTGTTTGAAGTTGGCTTAAGAGTGTGGATAGGTCTGCGCTCGGGTGAAAATATACGGAGATAGAGATTATGGATAATTCCTGTATACAGAGCTTAGAGATGATCCAGGCATTGCAGGATGACAGTGGTGACAGGATAGTGGTATTTACGTTGGCTGCGGCCAGTGATAGTAGACCACCACTGGGCCTACCCGGTCCTGGTTACTGTTTGGTGGCCGGAGACCAAAACGACTGCCAGGGGGAGAGAGCATGAGAGGTAATAGGATTCATACACCACGTTTCCGACACTCCTATGAACGATGAATTGAAGGTTGCTAATGAGTTGAGTAGATTGAAGATACCATGGACGTTCCAGAAAGTGATTTTTATGCTTGGTGGGTTGGTTAGTTCGTGTTGGGAGGAAACCCCCCGTTTTTTGAAGTGCTGAGCGAACTAGTGCCTTGACCTGGGTCTATTTGCATAGGATTCGCATCATTATCTTGTACGGCGACCAGCAACTGCTTGGCTAGGTCATATTTGTAGCGATTGCCATCGACAGTGATGCTTTGGTGATGTAATTTTACTTTTTTACCCTCTTTTTTTAATTCTTTACTTGCGTCTCTAAGCTTTTTTGCAATGAGCTGTTCCTCACGGGTTAGATCGTTGTTTATATATATTGGAGCATTAATATTCTTCTTCCCAGACATGATAGCATTTTTGGCCGCGTAGTCTTTCAGCGTGACTTTAATTCTATCTTTATCCTTGCCAATGACAATTGCTTCAGAGACGCAGTTAGTTAGCTTGAACTGTTTTGTGAAGAAGTCAGAGGCAGTCTTGGATGGTGTGCCTAGCTGACAGTTGAGACCTTTTATAATAACATTATTCTTCCTTGTTAGCTTGTCCAGTGTCTCTCTGGTGGTTTTTCTAATTTGCTCATCCAACATGTTTGCGAGACCAGAAGAAGGGTTCGGAGTAGATTGATTTGTGTTTTCCTCAAGTGATGAGAGTTCACGTGTTAGCTCTAGAGTGGTGATGCGCTCTTTTAGGGAGGAAATTTCTTTCTTTAGACTCTCATTTTCAGCTGCCAGAACTGTCTTGATCTCCTGTGGTCTTATCGTGGTTCACCTGCGAGGCCGTTGAGATTTGTGTTGCTATTTCTTCCTTGAACGCAGCAAACTGGGTGGTTAGCTGTGCTTTATCCTCGGTGCGCCAGATTTCCATCCTGCGGAGGAGTTCGTCGAGCGATTCACAGGGCTTAGTATTATCACCCATGTTGCTGGCTGTGTTGTGAGGTGTTCGGTGTTCGGCTTCTTTCAGTTTTGGTGGTGAGGATATAGACCGGCTGAGCTTTGTTGGAGGGCTGCGGTTGCTGGACCTAGAGATATCACGGTCACGTCCCCTCTTATTATTGGCGTTGAGGAATAATTCGGGGAGGGATGTTGCCGAGCCTGAGTTGTATCTGCTGAGCGATTCACAGTTGGTGAGTCGGCCTTTGCGAGATTTGCTTACTGCGTCCTTGCGATTATCAGGAGAGTAAAGTTTTGTTTGTGCTTTAAAGTTAAAGACTGGCGCTATACGATCCGAATTTCCCGCCACGGGTGTGGTGGGGAACTCACGCAATGGTGTGGTATAGTTTGTGTCGCAGTCAGTACCAACTGTCTCTGTACTTTTGGGACTAGCTGCGGGAGATGGCGCGTCAGTCTTCATAACCGTTAGGGTTAGACATAACCACAAACCGCTTGTCCACACAAAAGATAAAATAATTACACGAGTTAAAAACAATGAATAAAGTTTAAAATTGCACTGTAGGTATAAGAGCGATTGATTTCGCGGGGATAGTACTTTCCACAATTGTTTGTAAGCACTGTAATGATAAAATGATACAATTGAAAGCACACCTTTTAAGCACGTCTGTCAATGATGGCGTACCAACATGTACTCTATATGATTATATATGGAATCACATATATAATTATATACAATTAGATATAATCATATATGATTATATACAATTATATATAATCATACATGATTATATATAGTTCCATATACAATTATATATAATCAGACATGACTATATATGGAATTGTATATGAGGTTATATATAATCATATATAATTATATATGACTATATATGGAGCAATATACAACCATACAGGATTATATATAGTTCCATATACAATTATATATAAGTATATATAATCAGACATGATTATATATGGAATTGTATATAAGATTATATATAATTATATATGACTATATAGGAAGCAATATACAGCCATGCAAGATTATATATAGTCCCATATGTAATTATATATGCTTATATATAGTTAACACACATAAAAATTTTTTCTTTGAAAAAAAATTTTTTTTTGGTCATCACAAAAAGTGCATAATGATGTTTATAATTACGTTTAAATAATTCTGAAATACAAAATTTGTTACATTTCCTATGAGATGTTTTGGTCTGCTCTGCCACTACTTAATAGTAAGATCATTATTTATTTTATTATTTAAATAAGTATTATATTATAATGAGATTCGGTAAAATAAATAAATTATGAATTATGACTATCCAAATATATTATAAAATCAATTTTTATATTATATTTATGATAAACTCATATGATACATTGTGTAGATCATAGAATTATTATCATCTAAGACAGCAGCATAGCAGACAGAAACTTCAAGACGCACGCCGATCACCAAAGTTAAGCAGCATTGAGCAGGGTTAATAGTTGGATGGGTGACCGCTGGTGTTATAGCCGTAAAATTATATCTAGACATTTTTTTTTCGCATTTTAATTGTTTACAGAGAATTGCGTAGGACCATATTAAATACTCTATCCATAAAATTAACCCAATAATTAATTAGATGTAATAAATATATAATTAAATATTGTTATATATAATTATACATAATTATATATGATTAGATATGATTATATTTGGCCATTTTTCATATATAATCATATATAACCAATTCATATATAAATATATATAAATATTTTTTCTCGGGTCATTAAATTGTTCAAATTATTTTTAATTAAAATAAAGAATTTTGACGAATATTGGGAAGACTGAAAGTAAAAAAAATTTAAACACTATTTTGACTCATAAGTTACGCTTGAACTTCCTTAAAGGTAACCAGCATTGTGCGTAGTTAGTAGTTGGATGGGTGACCGTTGGTGTTATAGCCGTAAAATAATATGTAAAATTTTTTTTTGTATTTTAATTGGTTATATAGAATTGTGTACGACCATATCAAGTACTATACCCATAAAAGTAACCAAATAATTAATTGTTTTACTCACAATTTGAATGAAAATTTCAATAAAGGTCAATTAATAGTGAGTCGTCGGCCAAGAATCGAAAAAGCTGCAACTGATTACACATCGTGTTCGTTTTGTCTAGCAACGTTAACCAAATCTAACGCTGGGAAACATATCATCAAATGTAAAAAAAAACATGGCGCAGAAAGTAATTTAAAAGGACAGCGAGTTTACTATGTAATGGGAAAATCAATTGAAAGCAGGATGCACAAAAATGCAAACGACATATTGAGATTAGTGGTATTTCCAGTCTTGCAAGATGATGAAATAGTTCGATTAATTAGATACGATTGGCTCATAATCTTGTACGGAAACAAATTATGTATTAAATATACGCCTCATTACCAACATAATATGATAAGAGCAAGATTAAGATTAATCGGACGTTTTTTATCTGCTGCAAAGGAAATAAATTCAGAGTTAACAGATCTTGCTAGCTTATTCTACCCTAAGTATATTGAAACTGATATTAAAGCAATCGGGCAAGTAGCAAGAATTAATTATCTGAAGAATGTGTGCGAAGCTCCGGCAGTTGCATTAAACCTTGTAACTTATATCCGACAAATTGCAGTTATTTTAGAAACCGAGTATGTTGTTCAAGAAAATGAGGTATTGCAAAAACAAGTGTCAAACTTTCTAAAAGTTTATAATTCTGAAATGAGTATTGCAGTCAATAAAATTGCTAGCGAATCTCAAGCTAAAATGAGACGCCATAAAATTATAATCTTGCCTATCACGAAAGATATTCAAAAATTGATAATACATATAAAAATTACAAAGAAAAATTGTTTTGATATTTTGAAAGAAAGATTTGACTATCATACGTGGCTTGCAGCATCAAAATTAGTAGCAGCTTATTTACTGGTATTTAATCGTCGTCGAGTCGGTGATGTTCAGAATATGGTTATTAGTGATATGGATCGGTTGCAAAGTATTGATGAACAAGCTGATAAAGAGGAATATAATGCATTGGATGATGATGGTAAAAAAATTGCTGCGAACTATTATCGTATCGAAATACGTGGAAAACTGAATAAAGACGTTGCCGTGATTGTTAGTAACGATATTGTAGATGAGATTAAATTGCTTATTCGGTATCGAGAATCAGCTAATGTTCCTACCGATAATGATTTCGTTTTTGGTCTGCCTAATGGTGTCAATAATCGTATTCGAGTACTAAATTTATGTGCCGTTTTGCGTGAACTTTCGGTTTCTTGTGGTGCTGAAAAGCCCGAACTCCTTCGTGGAACCCACTTGAGAAAACACGTCGCTACTAAATGCGTTGAGTTTGAACTTTCTGATAACGTATTATCAGATTTAACTAAGCACATGGGTCACTCCGAAAAAATTCATAAGGATTTTTATCAAAGGCCAATCAAGTCTAAAACAATCGTTCAAGTAACTAAATTACTTCATGCTGTGCATGGTCCCGTTACAGATGAAGAAATAGAAAAAGAAGATATATTTACCAATGACCAAAATGAATTTATAGAATTTGAAGACTCTATTAACATGGCTGAAAATAAAAATAACCTCGATGCTCTTAATGAAACTGATCCGGATTTTGACAGTAATTTACCGAGCAATTCGGTAGAAATTCCCAATGAAACAGAGATACTGTTTGATCATAATTTGCCCTGCACTTCTAGCGCACATAATTCAGTTGTAATAACTGATTATGCTCAAATGCTTAATCAGAGTACTCCGAAAGATAGACAATCTACTATCACAGTATCTGAAACTTGTAAGTTATTTTATTGTATTCATAACAATATTTTGTAATTTATTTAACTAAGTTAGATTGTCAACTCATAAAATAAAAACTAACAAAAATATTTTTTATTATAGGTAAATCCACAAAGAAGCCCTGGAGTGACGAAGAAAAAAAAGTGATTTTTACCGAGTTTAAAGAGTATATAATCAGCAGAACTCATCCACCATTAAAAGATATTGATGACGTTAAAGCTAAGTATCCGTGCTTGAATGGTCGTAGTAGAGATACGGTTAAAGCATGGATAAATAATCATTATAAGAAGAAACCTAGTAATGTCTTAAATAAAAAAAAAGGAATTAAAATAATTAGCGTTAAAAATAAAAATTATAATTTGAAACGTTTAACAAAAAAAAGCTTGGATCTTTAAAAACGCATATTGAAATAGAAAGTTTTATGAGAGTATGTCTGTTGATTGGAATAATTAGTATTAAGACTCATAGAGTTCGAAGTTGAATAAATTCAATGATTTATATGTTTTATTACAAGATATAAATTTTATTCATGTTACGCACGTTAAAAAACTTAAAGTACTCAACAATTGGTTATTAAGTTTTAAATCTAAGTTAAATAAAACTAAGGTTGTTGATTAAACAAGCGTTAACGCTTAAATTTATGTGATTCATGACATATGAATTATAACATTCTACAAGCTTATTGAATTGAGTCTATTTGGAGATTCAAGTTCAGTTTTCAAGATGTTCGAAATTATATTAGATTCTTTAAATGAAAAAGAATCGAATTATTTAATTTATTAAGTGTAACGATATAATGTAACGTGCAGTGTTTAAAATAAAAAGAGTTTATGACATTATTATCAAAAGTTAATTAATGTTATTAGAATTTAATCGATTTATACCTACATTATGTATTTAATTGAAAGAATTATTACAATTGTCGCGTGAGCTGCGGTAATAATTTTATTTATTTAACATATTCATGTTGATTTTACTCATAAAATATTATTTGTAGAAATTTCTGATATAATTACTCATATTTGAAAAAAAAATTTTTATGATACATTGAAAACTTAATCTCTTCACCTTTTATAGAAATAAATATATGTCTAACATGATTATAATTTAAATGATAGAGTTAAATTATTTTGTAGACATCAATACTTTCATATTGATAATGATACATACTCTATGTGTCAAAAAAAAAAAAAAAAAAAAACATTAATCGCTTGGGGTAAACAATAAATTCAGTTATTAAGTTATAAGAATTATTGTACTTAAGGAAGGAAATACGTGTAGATAGACGTTTTCATGCTGATTTCTTATTAATTTTTTTAAGGTATGAAAATATTTATTAGTTATTGAAACTATCAGGTAATCTTATAGATGTTTTTATGAGTATTTTTTTGTATTAAACAACAGCATAACTTAATAAATAGCGGATATATCAACTGGTACACATCGTAGGTTGTCATCCGACTTAGCAGTTGACGTGCACGATAGAAGCCAAAATTTTTATCGTAAATCAATGGCACAGAAAAATTACTTTTCTTCATACAATTACGCTGAATATGAACCTCAATCATAAGCGACATTTTTATTTAAAATATTTTTCTTTTAATAAACGATGTATGAAATAATGGTAAAAAGTCACGACTTAATTTCACAGCCTTCTGAAAAATGCAAATTTTTAATTTTTTTTTTGGAATTGAAGTTCATATAGAAGATACATTTATAAAAAAAGTAATTTTTCTATGCCATTGATTTCAGATAAAAATTGTGGCTTCCTTACTGCACACCAACTACTAAGTCGGATGACAACCTACGATGTGTATTAGCTGATATCTCCACTATTTATTAAGTTATGCTATTGTTTAATACGAAAAAATTCTCATAAATACATCTATAAGATAACCTGATAGTTTCAATAAATAATATTAATTTTTTATACCTTAAAAAAATTAATAAAAATCAGCATGAAAACGGCCTTCTACACATTCCCCCTTAACTAACTTAGATGTCATTGTTTTTTAACAATTTTTTAAAATAGAATTAAGATTTTTTTATATTATTTATCTATTTTTGGTGAAATATTCATCAAATACCGTTAATATTGTTTTGGTTGGTTTCTATTTATATGAAATCGTTAAAGATTGTTTTTTAAAAATGTCATCTTTATAGAAATGAAAGAAATTCTTATAAATAATTGACAAATGCATACAATGAATCTATGTATGCTACATCTATGTATGCTACATAAAGCATCTCATGGATCTATCAGATTCTATATGGGGTATTCCATGCCAAATTGATTACTTTTGAACTCGACCCCTTTAGATTTAGCTGAAACTTTATCATTTTTTTCTACCCTTTGAAAAACATTTTTGAGAATTTTCTCAAATCTTTCTGTCCAACCCAAAAAAAGTTTTGAATTTTTCAAAAAAATGGCGTTTTTATTTTCAAATAGCAATAACTTTTTTTGATATTGACCTTTGGGTACCTTTTTTTTTTAAATTTTTGTTTTTGAATGAACTTTTTGAAAACATTCACAAGAAAATTAAATATGATTAATTCTGTAAAATAATCGTTTTTTTTTTTTTAGCAAAATCGTTATTTTTTCAAAGTAGGCCTTTTTAACTTCCCGCTAAGAAAATTGAAAATTTTCAAAATTCGGGAAGTTATTGGTTTTACCCCGTTTTTGGAAAATCGAGTTTTCATCAGATCTCGAAGTTTTAAGGTCCTAGGAAGCTTTCCTGACTATTCCCGCGAGGTTGTCACTATGTCTGTATGTCTGTATGTATGTATGTGTGTGTATGTGTGTGTGTGTGTGTGTGTGTGTGTG